AGGCGGCGAGGGCCCTGCGGGGGCCTGCGGCCCGCCGCGCGAGGCACCAGTTGCCGCGGCGGCGGTGGGCCAGGCGCGGCAGGGCTCGGCCTCTCCAGCAAGCGCGGCCGCCTGGCTGGAGCCCCAGGCTGGGGCGTCGGGGCCTCCCGACGGACGCCGCGCCGCAGCATGCCAGGACGAAGGCCCACTGGTAGGACGGGCCTGAGAACAGGTTTGAGCCGAAATGGGGCGCGAGGACGTCAGACCGCACCTCGAATGCATGGGAAGGGCGCTCACAGGGATGCTCGGTGGACCTTCCGATCTACAAGGCCAACATGGGCCAACGCACTGGGCGCTCTCGGGGCCACAGGTTGGCTGGAGCCCTGCTGAGCTCTTGAAAAGAGAAACTTGGAAGGGAGCGCGAACCTCGGGGGGGCCTTCAAACCTGGACCCCAAGGAAGGGAAGACATCGGGAAGCAGTGCACCAAGGGACTCTGTCGGTCCCTTTTTGTCAAAAGCTCGAGACCCGTAACCCGCTGGATCCAGTTCAGACGGAACCCATCTCACAGACACTTTCATATTCCTCGCGAGACAATAGGCATGAAACCTGCGAGCTTGGACGAGAAGAGCAAACTCTTTTGCACGACTCCTGGTAAACGATAGCACCACTGACATGTTACCCGACAACATCAGCTGGCGGCAGGCGGCGCCAAACACTGACTGGGCCACACGGCGGGCGCCCATCACCAGCGCACGGGCCTCCTTAACAATAATGCCCCCATCGAAACGCCAGCGCTGCACCTGCTTAGTCCGCCAGCGGGTGCTCGCCAGTCCGGCCGCGGGCACCTCGGGGAAGCTCGGATCGAGCTCCCGCGCGCCAGCCAGCGCGTCGTCCTCGGCCGTCTCCGCCAGCCGCCACTCGCCACGCTCATCGCGCCAGAAGCTGGCTGCCTCCAGCGCTGTCTCGCGGGCGCCGCGGCGGGCGACAGGCGCAGCGTCCGCAGCCCCCATCGGCCGCAGCCGCCACGGGCTCGCGGAAGCGGGCGCGCTCCTGCACGCGGCCCGCCTCGGCCACCTGGGGGCGCGGCCAGCGGGCGGTCGAGACAGCGCCCGCCTCGAGGCCGCTGTCGGTGGCCACCACCAGGTCGTTCCACTGCAGCGCCCAGTCGCTCTCCAGAAAGATCAGCAGGCCGCGGAACGTCTCCAGCTCCTGCCGCGCCTCCGGCCACAGAGCACGCGGCTTGGCGTAATTAGGACATCCGCATGAAGGCGTACACGGTATGAAACGCGCTCAAGGCCCCACGCGATAGCAAGCCTGCAAAAGCAATGCCCCACCAGCACCTCTACCGCCCATCCAGCGAGGCGACGGCGACGAAGCAAACCGTTGAGCGCCTGCCGAATCAGCCAGAAACGCTTCTGAGTGACCCTCGTCCTCCAGTGCGCCCCCGAGACCTCCGTGCCCAGCGCCTCGGCGTCGGCGCCCACCGAGTTGCCGCGCGGGAGCAAGCCCTGCTGGTCGAAGCCCTCGACGAGCTGGGCAATCGCGTCGGAGACGAGGGGCTCATCGGTGGAGGCCACGCCTAGGTTGTCGACGTACTCGCAGTGCGAGACGCGGCCCTCGGCCGCGGTCGGGCCGAAGACAGCTGGCCCCCCTCGGTCAGTCAGCGGGCTCTCGAGCAACAGAGGACAGATGGCACGCGCCTGGGGCTCGTTGATGCGCTGAGCCGCCCACGAGCTCCACGTGAAGCCCATCGGGAAGACGGCCCAGCAAGGACTCACCAGATCGTGCCGCTCCAGTGCCCTGCCTTCCCAGAGCTGGCCCTCGGCGCCGAGCAAATGCGCAGGTACCTCGGGAAGGCAGAAGTACTCAGAGAGCCGCCGCGGGAGTCGCAACCTGTGGAAACAGTCCTTGACGCCGGCGAGCCCCAAGTGCAGGGAGTAGCCGCGCAGGAGCTGGTGGGCCTCCTCACTCCAAGGGCCCAAGTCTTCAGGAAGAGCGATCTCTACCCGGCTGAGGCCCTCGCCACTGAGGAGGGCCACGCCAGGCGGCGACTCGAAAAGCAGGTTCGCAGGCCTGGCGCCCAGGATGAGCCGCAGCCTCTGGCCGCCATCCTTCTCGACGAAGAAGAGGCCGACCTGGCAGCGAGGGCGCCTGGTCCAACCAATCAGGCCACGGCGATGCAGGTCGGCTATGAACTAACTGCCTGTAGGTCTTCGCGCTGCGCTTCAGCGCGGGGTCGAAGTATGGCGACGCTGAGGAGGAGGGACTGTCTGAGCGTAGCATGCGCTCGGGGTGCTCCTTCAGGAAGCGCTGGACCTCGGGCGCAGCCGCGTCCTCGAACGGCGGGCAGCCCTCCACTGTCTCGGGCAGGGGGACGAGGCCCTTCTTGAAGGGCGCGACACGGGTGAGGCACCCCGCCCCGTCGTACGGCGTGTGCCCTCGCAGCAGCCGGCGAACGGCTGCGCCTTCACTGGGGGGTCAGGGCCCGGGTGCCGCCTCGAGGCTAACTCACAGACCCGCTCCAAAACTTCGAGCTGCATCGAGTCGGGCTCGAAATAGGACAGGCTACTTCGGAAGCCCGCCAGCCAGTTCAGAGCATCCACCGCCTCGTTGCCCATCTTGAACACCAGCCGCCCTCGCCGCCGAAGGGCCGGGCCCCGTGTGGAGCCGGCCGCGACCAGCTTAGGCAGGCGCCAGCGTGGCAGCGGGGACAGCCCCCTGGCTCGGCGCGAGGCGGCAAACCGGCCGCGCGCCCCCCCTGAATCCCGGCCGGGGACAGGGTTCCCCCGGCCGTGGGGGCAGTCATTGCCCCTTGGGCGGGGGGATCGCCCCCCCCCCCCCCCCCCGCCCCCCTTCGGTCCCATCGGCGGCGGGCGCCCTGGTCGGCCCTTGCCGTCGTCCTGGGAACCGTCGCCGTCCACGCGCTGGGCCTCTTGCCGAGCGCCAACACTACCAGGGCATCCTGCTGCTCCTTTGCTCCTTGATCTGGCGGGTGGCGAACTGCTGCAGCGCCTGGCCCGCGATGTCGTCCGACGAGGCGGCGCCCGTATAGAGTCGAGCCCGACCCCGCACAGGCTTGGCCAGGCCCGGATAGACCGCCACCAGCCCCGCGATCCTCCTCGCCGCCGTCTCCAAGCACATCAGGCCGCCTAAGTTCACCTGGTCGTACGCGGCGGCCCAGAAGAGGATGTCACAGAGAACTCGCAGCTCGTGAGATACCCTGTCGTTGTCCCCGAGGCTCTTTGACCTCAGGAAGTCTCGCAACCAGGACCTGGGGTCGCCGTTGGTGCGCTCCATGTTCTTCCACGCCGTCACGGCCGACGCGGGGCCCTCGATTGGCTGGTCTGGGAAAGCCTCTTGCGAGGACTCGCGGCACGCGGTCCTGAAGGGTTTGTACCTCTCCCCCTGCGCGTCGTAGTCTACCTCCAAAATGCGGAGATCTCCACCGTCAGCGCCCGCGTCCCCGGGCGGCGGGGCAGCCGTGCCACTCACCCTCTCGGGGCGCGGCCCACCCCCAGCGCCCGCGGCTCGGCCCAGGCGCTCGCGAAGGTCGGCGGCTCCCGCAGGTCCTTGCCCGTCACGCTCCGCCTCGGCGGCTGGGAAGTCGCTGAGGCCCATCTCCCTGCGCCGCCTCGCCGCATACCCTGGAAGATCCTCCGCCGGCAGCGCCTCCACGCGTCGAGGGCCCTCCGCGAAGACGAACAGCCCCGCCAGCGCTGTCGAGGGAACGAACCGTGGGTCCGCCCGATCGGCCGTGGCGCCGACCGCTGCGCTCTCCGTGGGCTCGGCAACGACCCAGACGCGATCGTCCTCCAGCGGGGCGAGCGACTGCTTGCCCCGCAGCCGCAGCGACGGTGGCCGCCTCGCCTCGCCGAAGAACGTGGTCCACTCGACAAGCTCATCGCCAGGGCCCGCGACCTCAGCCGACGTCTCGGGCGCGATACAAGGGGGGCGCGCCTCCACCAGTGCGCGTCCGCGCCTGATCGCCGCCCGCAGCTCCTCGGCCGTGACGGCAGCCCGGAAGCGGTAGATCGGCCATGGCCAGCCCTCGGGCGCCCCGCCACCGATCGGCATCAGCGCCACTCCCTCAAGCCCCGTCTGAGGATCTGCTCCCGTGAAGTCCTCCTCGTACTCATCCCCGTCGGGAGCCCGCGCCGCCCACGTCCCATGCGGCAGGCTCGGGTCGAGCAGCACTCGCTCGTGGTCGACGGGGTCGTCGCTATATCTGACGACGAGACGCTGCCCGGGTCGGCGGCGCCTCCACCACTCCTGCTCCACGTCGTGCGGGAGCAACGCCATCCCGCTCAGCACCCGCAGCCTGGGGGGGCTACGGCGACAGCAGCTCCGCGCCACACGCCAAGCCTCCAGAGCCAGCGCCACCAAGACGCCGGGGGTCGCCGCCAGGAGAGCGCCGATAGGGGGTCCTCGCTCCCCACCGAGGCCCGCTCTGCGGCCGCGCAGACAGCAGGAGCCGCCTCACACGGCGGCGCCTCTGGGCACGGAGGGCAGACGTCTGCGCCCTGTGGCGGCAGCCACGCGGGCGGGCACACGGCTTCCAGCGAGCAGGGAAGCAGACCAGGCGACGGCGGCGCTTCTGGCAGGAAGTGCGCGGAGAGATGCCAGAGCCCCAGCGCGAGGACAGCCCAGTGTCCCGCAGGGACCTGGGCCATCTCGAACCGAAGAAAGGCTATGGAGTCCAGGGGTACCCCGTTTAAACAAATTGGTTCTTTGACCTGCGCCATCAAGTCATTACGCTCACAACCTTCCCGTGCACGCACTGACATAACACGACACTGGCATGGCAATATCACAGCAATCGCGTGGCAATGCAAAAAGGAAACATCGGAAACTCACGCCAGAAGTCAGCGTGGAAGGGGGGAGCTGGAGGCGGACGAGGAGGAGGAGGAGGAGAAGGAGGAGGAGAAGCCGAGTGTAAGAGAGGGAGGGGGGAGGAACGGGGGGAGCTGAGCACAAGAGAGGAGGAGCCGAGCGTAAGAGAAGGAGGAGACTCGCAAAGTGCCTCCCCGCTCGGGCTGTCCCCCAGTTGCCGCAGCCCCCTTGTCTCTGTACCCCGCCAGCCGCCGCTGGCGTCGCCACTCTTCTTGGAGTCCCACGATGCGCCCGGACAGTCTTTCCGCACCGCCTTCCTGTCGCCCCAGGCCTTCCCTGCCGCCTCGATCTCCTGGATGGAATTCGCACGGGGAGGAGCAGCAGCAGGGGGAAGGAGGAGAAGCAGCATGAGCAGGGGCATGCGCTCCTTCGCCTTCTCCGCCAGCCAGTGGGGGACCCTGGTCTCTCCGCCGCTCTCCGCCATGATCCTGGCGAGTTGGACAACCATGTTCTGGTCGTCAAGCCACAGGCCGTCCTGAACGGCCCCCTCCTCCTCCTCGGCCTCCTCCTCCTCCTCGTCATCATCATGATCACCATCATCTCCCTCCCTCGTGCCCTCACTCTTCCCTCTCCTGCTCCCCCTCCTCATTCTTATGTTTCCTAAATGTATACTTATGTATATGTACATATATATATATGTATACACACACATCTCTCTCTCTCCCTCCCGCCCTCCCTCATCCTCTCCCTCTCCCTCTCTCCCCGTCTCTGTCTCTCTCTCTCTCTCTCTCTCACTCACTCATCCTCATCCTCATCCACTGTGCCACCGCCGCTGCTGCAGTCTTGCACGGCCACGAAGGTGATCGCCCATCCGCGGTGCCCGATGCGGCCAGTCCGGCCGATGCGCTGCACGTACACGTCCGCCGCCTCGTCCCCGCAAGGCAGGTCGTAGTTGATCACGTGGCTTACGCCGTGGATGTCGAGGCCCCTGGACGCGAGGTCCGTAGCAATCAGGACGTCGATTTCGCCGCTGCGAAACTTCCGCAAATTCTCCTCACGCTCGTGCTGCTGGAGGTCCCCGTGCAGGGCGCCGGAGTCGAAATTCGATTCCCACAGCTTCTCGTCGAGGCCCTTAGCCTGGCTCTTGGAGTTCGTGAACACGACGATCCGCTCGTGCTCACCCCGGCTCTCCTAAAAGAAGGGAAACTGCATCAGCATACGCTTTCGGAGGTTCGATCGGATTTCTGGGATCGGCACTGTGCCCCCCTGGCGGCGCCTCCGGCGCCGCCCCTGGCGCGCTCCGCGCGTCAGGGGGGTCCAGCGCCCATCCAAGCAATCTGCGCGGACCTCTGAAAGTTTATGTGTATGCACGTTTCTCCGATCTCCATGAACTTGTGGAGCAGAGTGATCAAATTGTCGTACTTGTCCTCGGGGGACACGCGCTGGAGCTGCTGGGTCACCGTGCTCACCGCGCCGCCCAGGACGCCAACCCCGACCCAGATGTGCTCGAACAGATAGGCGGCGGCCAGCTCCTGGCACTTGTCGGAGAACGTGGCCGAGAACATCAGCGTCTGCCTGTTCTCCTTGCTGGGCATCCCGTGCCTCTCGACAATCTCCCGGATCTGGGACTCCATCCCGAGGTACAGCATTCTGTCGGCCTGGCCGGAGGAGAAGGAGGAAGAGACCTTGGAGGAGGAGGAGGAGGAGGAGGAGGAGGAGGAGGAGGAGGAGGAGGAGGAGTACGGTCTGGAACTTGGCTTAGCTTGTAGCGGCGGCGGCCGCGGCCACACGCTATGCCTCGCAAGCGGATGGCGTGTCGCTCCGCTCCGCGCGGCGGGAGGCTCAGAAAGGCTCGGGACGCTGACGTCTGGAAATTGGGACGTGGTTAGCGTGTCGCGGCGAAGCGTGGTGGGCCAGAACAGGCGGCGCGACTCGCTAACTAAACGTTCCTAGCCATGGGGGGACAGCACCCCGCCAGCCTCGTCCAGCACCAAAGATCTCGTCTCCACGACGCTGATCACGCCCGCGTCGACCCACTCCCACAGGCGCCCAGGGGTGGCCACCAGAAGGTCGGCACCCCTGGCGAGCTCCTCCAGCTGCAGCCTCGCCTGCTCCCTGCCATAGATGCGGCAGCATCGGAAGCTCGTGGCGTGGCAGAACTTGAGTGCCTCGTCGAAGATCTGCAGGCAGAGCTCGCGGGTGGGCGACAGGACCAGCGCGTGCGGCCTGCAGGGGCCCTCGAAGGGTGTTGCCTGAGCGGCGGTTCCGCGGTGGCACCTCATCATACTGGCGACCGTCGGCACCAAGAATGCGGCAGTCTTACCACTTCCCGTCTGGGCGCAGCACAGCACGTCCCGGCCCGAAAGCCCAGGGGGCATGGCGAACCTCTGCACGGGGGTGGGCCTGGTGTAGCCGCAGCGCGTGATGTTCTGCATGAGCTCAGGAGGTATCTGCGCTCCGAACGAGTCGTACAACTCGCCGAAGGACTTCAATTCTCTTGGTATGAGTTCTGATCCTGGACCGCTGATTTCAGCACCGACAAGATCGTACATATCGAAATCCGTACCCGCGCCCAGGCCGATGGCCTCCTCGGAGAAAAGCCGCGCCTCGTCATCCAGCTTGCTGGGGCCAGGCGCGATGCCTCGCCCGACGTACCAGTCCTGCCACTTTTTGAACTCGTCCCACCTCCTAGCCCTGATTCTCGCGCTCTCGTCCTCTGGAAGGGCCCAACGGATGGCTCAAGACACTCTAGGTACGCCAACGCCAACTGCTCCAGGGGTGTGGGTTTACCTCCACCAGCATCTGCTGGCCTTCCGCACAAGTCCGCCGCCAAAGTCGCCCTCGATTAGCTTCCGCTGGCTTCCCAGGGCAAGAAGAAACAACGGAAACGAAAACTCCGCCAGCAGATGGGAATGTACAGCTCGGAATCTGGAGGCAGTCTTCCTTGTCACTCACGAGACAAGGCGACCGTATCCCCAAGGCGATCCCGCCTGCCCCCCTCCTGCAGTCTGCAAGGTCCTCAAGCAGATCACCTCAGATGCTGAAGTGTAGACATGAGATTTCCAAAACTTGGGGGGCCCAAAACTAAGGGCTCCTAGCTTCGCGCTTCGCGCTGCGCGAAGCGCGAATAACTTCGCGCTTTTGTGCCCCCCCCCCCGGGACAAGACGAGGGGCTCGCGAAGCGCGAATAACTTCGAGCCTTTCGCGCTTCCCCCCCGGGGACAAGACAAGGGCGTGGGGCGATGGGAGAGTCCGAGGCCCGCAAAGCATGCAGAGGATGAGGACTGAGGTGGACGTGGGGACAGAAGACGATGAGGAAGGAACGCCGGCCCTCGAAGTTGGGAATGCTTTTCGTAAGGAGCCCAGTGATTTCTGAGAAGGTTTTCGTAGAATCAAGAGAAGGTTTTCGAGAGGAGACCACCAAATTCGGAGTAGGTTTCGCGCGGAGCCCCAGGAGTCTGGATATGGTTTTCGTAGGGCGCCCAGTTGGTTAGGATAAGGTTTTGGTAGAGGGCCCCAAGAATTCCGATGAGATCTTCGCGCAGGGCCCAAGAAATTCGGATTTGGTATTCGAGCGGCGCCCATGGAGTTCGGATATGGTTTTCGCATGGGGGCCAGTGAGTTAGGATAAGGTTTCCGCAGGGGGGCCCATGATGAGGTTTTTGCGCAAAGCCCAAGGAATTCTAGTGAGGTTCGCGAGGGGGAAGGATAAGGGTTTCGTCGGGGGGGCCGAGAGTTAGGATAAGGTTTTCGGGCGGATCCCAAGGAATTCCGATTTGGATTTCGCGCGGAGCCCATGGAGTTCGGATGCGCGTTATTGTATTGGGCCCAGTGAGTTAGGATAAGGTTTTCGAAGGCGGGCACGGGAGTTGGGATAAGGTTTTCGGGCGGAGCCCAAGGAATTCGGACTAGGTTTTCGCGCGGAGCCCATGGTGTTCGGATCTGGTTTTCGTAGGGCGGCCAGCGAACTAGGATAAGGTTTTCGTAGGGGCACCCAGGAGTTAGGGCAATGTATTCGGGCGGAGACCAAGGCATTCAGATTAGGTTTTCGCGCGGAGCCCGTGGAGTTCGGATATGCTTTCCGTAAGGGGGCTGTGAGTTAGAATAAGGTTTTCGTAGGGGGGGCCTGGGAATTAGGATGAGGCTCTCGCGCGGAGCCCAAGGAATTCGGATTAGGTTTTCGCGCGGAGTCCAAGGAGTTCGGATATGGTTTTCGTAGGGGGGTCAGTGGGTTTGGATAAGGTTTTCGTGGGGGGGCCCGGGAGCCAGGATAAGGTTTTCGGGCGGAGCCCGCGGAGCCCATACGAAAACCATATCTACACTTCCTCGGGCACCGCGCGAAAACCTGTTCCGAATTCCTCGGGCTCCGTCTACTTCCCGGGACCCCCATACGAGAATCGTATCCCAACTTACTGGCCCCCCGACGAAAAGTATACCCAAATTCCGAAGGGTCCGCGAAAAACCCTAATCCGAATTCCAGGTCTCCGCGCGAAAACTTTATCCTAACTCCCAGGGCTCCCCACGAAAATCTTATCCTAAGTCACTGGCCCCTACGAAAACCAGATCCAATCTCCAGGGGCTCCGCGCGAAAACCTGATCCAAATTCCTTAGGCTCCGCGCGAAAGCCTTATCCTAACTACCGGGGCCCCCTACGAAAACCTTCGCCTAACTCATCTCCTCCCCTGCGGAATCCAGATCCACACTCCGCGGCCGCGGGCTCCGCGCGAAGCCCTAATCCGAATTCCAGGCGCGAAAGGTATATCCAAATTCCCCGGGCTCCCGTAAGAAAAACGCCTCCTCACTCACTGGCCAGCCTACGAAAACCTTGTCCAAGCTCCAGGGGCTTGGCGCGAAAACCTACTCAGAATTCCTTGGCCCCAACGCGAAAACCTTATCCTAATGCCCTGGGCCCGATACGGAAACCTTATCCTAACTTACTGCCCCCCATACGAATTTCATACCCAAACCCCAGGGGCTCCGCGCGAAAACCTACTCTGAATTCCTTGGGCCCTGCGCGAAAGCCTTATTCTAACGCCTAGGGCTCGCTGCGAAAACCTTATCCTAACTTACTGGCCACCTACGAAAACCTTATCCAAACTCCTTGGGCTCCGCGCGAAAACTTAGTCCGAATTCCCAGGGCTCTGCGCGAAAACCTTATCCTAACGCCCAAAGCCCGCTGCGAAAACCTTATCCTAACTCACCAGCCCCACTACGAGAACCGTATCCACACTCCATGGGCTCCGAGCGAAAACCGGATCCGAGTTCCTTAGGCTCCATGCGACAACCTTGCCCTAACCCCTGGCCCCCTACGAAAACCTTATCCTATGTCACTGGCCCCTTACGAACACCTTATCCCAACTCCAGGGGTTCCGCGCGAAAACCTACTCCGAATTCCGTGGGCTCCGCTCGAAAACCTTATCCTAACCCATGCGCCCCCCTCCGAAAACCTTATCATAACTCACTGCCCCCCTACGAAAACCTTATCCAAACTCTACGGGCTCCGCGCGAAGCGCGAACAACTTCGCGCCTCGCGCTGACGTCGCCCAGACCGCGAAGCCCGCGATGCAATCCCTCAATGGCCTAGCCCCAAGGATGCGAGGCGCGTCTAACTTCGCTCTGGAAACCGTCGTAGGCTCAGACCACGAACCGCGAATAACTTCGCGCATCGCTCTGACGTCGTCCAGACCGCGAAGCGCGAATAACTTCGCACCCTCGAGAGAGCCCTTGAAAACGGTGCGTTAACAAACGTGCGGTGACCTCGAAAACCTGAAAGACCTCAGCGTACGGGTCGGTCACCGCACGGTTCTGGGACTCTGAAGAGACCTAGTCGCCCGAGACACCCTCGGAAAACGACAAAAAAAAACCGAAACCGTGCGGCCACCCCGAATCCTCACTGACTCACCACACTGCAAAAACAAACAGATGTCTACCGCTACCGCTACTCCAGGGACCTCTCCCAGAGTGCGTTCTGACCAGACCTCTGGGGCGAACCCAGCCTCGGTGATGAGGGCCTCCTGGGAAGCCCCGAGAAAACGAGAGAAGGCTAGCGGTGTCGGTATTCTATTCGTTTCCGAGCAGCTTGGAACGTTCGCGTCCGAGGAGACGTGCATCAAGGAAAAAACAGATCGTGCACCGACCCTCCTCATGAGAGGACGTCGCTGCTGCATCGGCGCACAATGGCTCGAAGGAGAGAGAGGCAAGGGGGAGAGGACTTGTGCCTCAGACCGGCCGCAGACGCCTCCGAAGTCAGAGGGCCCCCTCTGCACTTCGGCTGCCCCGGCTCCTCCGGGTCCACGGGCCTGTCCGCCGCCCGAGCCCCGTGGGGGAGCCCGGCGGCCGCGGCGCCCCCGTCCTTCCGGGCGCTCTCGGCCGCGGGCGGGCGCCTGGTCCACACGGACCCGTTCTTGGCCCACGTGATCGAGCCGTCGCGGTAGGTGCCACGGAGGCCGAAGATGTGGATCGTGCTGCCATCGGCAGGGGAACAAACAGTGACACAAACATGAAAACTCCGAGATCCGCGCGGACCCTTCGCATCGGCGCTGGAGAGCCACCCGGCGGCGCCTCTGGCGCCGCCCCCGGATATTTATGTTCTTGCCATGGCTTGTTCCCCTAATCGAAGGTCCCACATTCGGGGTCCCACCGGGAGCCTCGAGGGTAGGTGGCGCTCACGACGGCGCCGTCGAGGACCAGGGTGGCCTGCTCGTGGCCGCGGCGGTCCACGTACGTGCCGCTCAGGTCCTGGGCCTGGACCGTGACAGGCCCCGCCCCCGAGAACTCGGAAGGACCGAATCGCACCCCACACTGGCAGCCTCCACCACGAGTGTCAGCGATGCGAATGGAACCCAAAGCCTCCTCGACCAATGCAACACGGCATCGGGGCGGCCCTGAGCGGCTCCGCACAAACATGCACCGTGCGTGGTCCATGCAGAAATCGATCTCGGAACGCCAGAGACAGAATGAACGAGAACAAAGCCCCGTCAGGGGATTGGAGGCGGACAGCCTGGACCCTGGAGGTGCAGTATATACATACGATAATCAGTCTTACCATCGGACGTCTACGGGCACATCTGTCGTCGATCTGTCCAATTCCTCAGGTGTCCCATGTCCTCTGTGGGACCCCGGGGCATGACATATTTCAGCGGGGCACCTGCTGGCAGGTTGGTTCCTTCTACAATGCGCCTGCTGTAGCATCACGCGCCTCTCTCACGACTTGGCGACGTCCTATCGAGACGAATCCCAGCTGGCCCACTGAAGGGTAAACAACAATCGGCACGAAGGTCCTGATGGAAACGAATCCAGAACATCACCCGGGTGACTCCAACCTAAGACCCATGGAGGCCCAACCGGAAAGAAAAAAAAAATGGGGCGCGCCGAAGAACCCAGGGGGTCCGGTTTCCGCGGAGGAAAGAAAAAAATCCGGCGATGGGGTTCGAGCACGGGGGTTACCCCCCCCTCAAATTCCGGAAGAGGAATGAACTCCCAGCCGCGGGGGTGCCCGCGCGAGGGGTCCCACCCCCCCAAGCGCAACCAGAGGAAGAAAAGCGTGAGAGCCGAGACTGTAAGTGCAATGCAACAACACCTTAATCGCGGTTGCACTAGGGATTTGTATTAGTACGGGAACAACCGAATTACAGCCGGTGAGGTTTGGGTTCGGGCTCGGGCTTATATATTGGGAACCCAGTATATTGGAAACGAAATATATTGGAAACTCAATATATTGGAAACCCATGACAGTACCAGTTGTAGTCAAGTACGAGTTGTCGGAGGGGTTCAGGGGTTCCAACGGCAACGCGCGCGGGGAAGAAGGAAAGAAATCCATGCGCCGCCAGGGGTCCCGGGTTTAACGGGTCGCCGCGAAGGTTGACCCCCCGCGGAAAGAAGAAAAAAAATCCGGCCGGGGGGTTGGGGGGTTGAGGGATGAGTCACGGGGGCGATTCCAGAACCCCGCTCTTTTAAATTGAGGGCTAGTTTTCATCAAGAGTTGCGTTCCGACCGAATCTCAGAACCATCTCGCACACCTTCGATGATATTATGCTTTCAGTGCGCGGCACCAAGAAGTCCCGACCTTCTCCCCAAAAATTTGTGTCCGACCCAGATCCACTCTTGATCGCCCAGGGGCCCGAAGATGGGCCGAGACCGGCAAACCGTCGCCCCAGTTCGGAAACAAATGCCGTTGGAGATCCACGTTTCCCTCTGGGCCCATCTCCCCAACGGCGAAGAGAAGAGGGAAGCGCAGCCTGCAAGCCCGGAAACGCATCGACCTGGGAGATCCACAGCGGGCCCGTTTCGGCGGACGGTGGTCTGCGACTCCCTCCGCACAACTCATCTCCCCAGACTACCCAAATCTCCCTGTCCGTCCCATACTCTCCCCTTCCCCTCACAATCTTAAACGCAACAGACGTCCCAGTGTCCCCCCCCCCGAGATCCTCCTCCCCTTCCTTCTTACCTCCCTGGTCCCCGCATGCCCCTTCCCTTTGCCCCATCCCTCTCCTCCCCCTCCCACATCAACATATCCCACTCCTCTCCTCCCCCCCCTTCCCCCTCCCCCTCCTCCTGCAACTCCTCCTTGTCGTCCTCCACCTCCTTGTCTCAAGCCATCTTAACCCAGGCATTCTGCTTGTACCGACTCTTGTAACTGCACGACGTGCTGGAGCCACACCGAGCACAGTCTCCCCAGGCGGAGGCCAGTCACCAGTGACAAAAGCAAGAGTTCACGCAACGTCTGGAATTTTCATTGCTCGGCGCGGCCTCTGGAGCAGGTGCGGGCATTGCGGGCGCTGCGAGTGGAACGACAGTCTGAAGCGGGCCGAGTGCGTCTGTGCTCGTGGGAGGCCCGTCGAACTGTTCAAACCGACGAGCTCGTCTTCCAGGTCGAAGTCCCCAGGTCGAGTGTCCTTCGCCGACGAGGCCGAAGTGTCCATTGTTGATGGGGAGGTGCAGGCGCAGACTCGTGGCGGGCGTGGCGCTGGCAAGTCCAAGCCCCAATCGGTCGCCGATCATCGCCTCGCGGTCATCAAGCAGACGAACGATGCCGAGCGACGCGCTGTCCTTCAGGCTCGGCTCGATCTCGTCCAGGCACCCAGAAAGGCGACCAACCAGTGCATCTCCGCCAGGTTCCAAGAGACCGACGAAATCTGGAGGGATGGCAACCACAAGCATGATCAAGCGGTGTCCAACGTCAACAGACTGGTGAAGGCCCATGAGGTGGCCAAAACCAAGGAGAGAGCAGCGGCCATCGCCTTAGCGGCGCAAGGAGGGGACCGCCAAGCGCCAGGCGGCAGAGGCCGTTGCTCGCGCAGCCGGTTTCAGAGTTTCCCATCAGCAAGAGGCGGCGAAGATGCCCAGGTGCGAGGCCTTCGCCATCCTGTGGGACGAGGCCTTGTTCGCCGACGTCGACGGTCTCGACTGCGAGGGGGCCGAAAAATCAAAAGCTCAAACTGACCAATTCAGAGTTGCTCAAGATGGAGGAGTCGTTCACCAACAGGAACGCCCAGGTCAAGAACTGGCTGGACAAGGCGGAGCAGGTCAAGCCGAGCATCGCCAATCGTGCTGACCACAAAGACACTCCGACGGGAACAGCGCCACGGCGGAGGCCGCCGAGTGCGCCCTCTCACCCGCTGGGGCAGGCCCTCCCGCTCCTGGACCCGCAACGGCAACGCGCGCAGGTGGGGCTGCGGGCGGCGGCCCCAGGCAGCCGACTGCGGCGGCGGAGCGGAGGGGGGCGCTAGGGCGCCTGGCGGCGGCGGCGCAGCTGGCGCAGCGGCGGCGGCGGCTGGCGAGGTCTCCGAGGAGGTGAAAGCGGAGGCGGAGCGGTTGTTGGCGGCCTTATTCACCGAGGCGCAGGCGGCAACGGAGCAGGGCAAGGGCGCCGGCAAAGTCGAATGTGCTGCAGTTTCTGCTCGGGCCGCGAAGGCTTGACAACTTCCCCCGGCGTAGAGGCAGCGGTGCCGAACGTCGGGGGCCAGGGCCCCAGCGAGCCCAAGATGGTGCAGTCGAGCATCTTCTTCAGCAGCGCCACCGCCCTCAGGGATCGGGTTCGGGCCCCGGCGCGCCCGGAGGAACGCCCCCAATTTCGCGGGCGCATAGGCTGCGCGGGGCTCATGTTGGGGAGCCACATCAGCACCAGTGGGACACTCTGGCGCGCCAAGCCAAGCTTCGCCTGCTCAGAAATTTTGCTCGCCCCACAGGGCGCGTCGCCACGTCGGCCAAAGCTGACGGGGCCAGCGAGGGTGTTGAACTGTTTCTTGCGCAAGGCCATTTGCACGTGGAGCCGTTGTCCGAAATTAGATTTAAGACGTTGTGTCTTGGATATGTGCACTGACGGTCCCTAGTGTTTTTTGGTGGGAAGCTCTCCTTCGCCCAAAACATGTTTTCATCATGGTCAGGCGAATAGAAAGCACGATGGGGACCATGTGGTTATCGGTTGGAAAATAGACGTGGGGTGAAGCACCATCAAGAGGCATGGTCAGATCCTGTTTTAAGTGTGGTTGTGAGCCACGGCAGCCCATGCAAATGGGACGACGCCGCCTTGATCCAGACGCCAAAGGGATTCTCGCCATGCTCGCTATGTGTATATATATACATACCTAGACCTCAGAACCCTCATTTCAGAGTCGAGGGGGGAGGAAACAAGCTAGCGAATATCAAGCTACATCTTAATGCTGATATTAAGAAAGATCGCACGTGGCAAAAAAATTGGGTTCGCGCTCACACGAGCTGCGCCCGGCTGGCCAACGCCAGGCTGGGTCTGCAAAGAAGCGGCAGGACCCGACCTGGCCAAATGCCAAGGACGGGCCTGCAAAGTAACGCGTTGCGGACAAGTATTGGCCAAGTGCCAGCGATAGGCCCGCGGGGCCCAATGAGGACGAACCCAAAGACGCAAGCAACACATGATAGTAGAAGATTACAAGAAAAAATTCAAGCGGAATGAAAGACAAGCTTGCCTTGCAGCGTGTCCACGCAACGTGGAGGCATTCCGCCGGCTCGCCACGAGCCGGGCCCAACCTTCGAGTTCGGAGCCTTGTGAGGAGTGCAAGTCTCCAACTCGCGTTTAAAGAGTTGCGCGCCCGCCGTTGCTTGTAACAGTGAGTCGCGTTCTATGCTGCCCTTGGCATGTCAGTCGGCAGTCGTGCCCCGTGCGTCGCGACATTGCATTCTGCGCGCGATGCGCATGTCCATCATCTGTCTAATCCAGCTAAACTGTGACCTAGTATGGCGCATTCAGTAGGTTGTTTAAGGTCCTTGCTCGATAGCGATTGGAACGCATATCCAGCATCAATGGCAAGGGTAAACTTAATAGGCCGCCCATTTCCAGTAGATGTTCGACTTGCGCGGGCGCGAGCGGTGCCGCCTTTAGTTCATGCAAGGCAATTTATGCATATCGGGTAGCAGTCCTCTCAACTGTGGGCTGCTGCGAGCGCTTCCGCTAGATAGATTGACCTCGCTCGCAGTCGATGCGACTTGCAGTGGGCATCTATCATGCGTGCGACGGGCTTGCCATTGCGCGCGTGTCCAGGCCTGAGAAGGTCGGCACGTCGAATGCCGTGCCTTTCGTCGTCCTCAGCGTCTCCGGTCAACCGTCGGAGTCAGAGCCGCTCTGGAGGTCGACCTCTCGAACGGGGTTCATAG